ATCACAAAGTAATTCAGCATTTCATGAGCGATTCCGCTGAAACACCAAGGCACCTGCTAATGTACAAAAACTGTACAAATGGGGTTTAACGCATTACTGGAACCTGGTAGATAAAAGCCAACACTTTTTTTTTTGAACATTTAAGTATTTTTCATGTTTACCCACATTATTCTTGTTAGAGATCACAGAAAATGAAACAAATATGGAAGCAGGAACAAAAAGCTGGAGACACAGGAAGCTCCTAGGCTTCAGAGTAGTCAGGAAAGGGAATGAAAAGTTACCTGAAAGGAGGGATACTGTAAATAATGGAGGCCTCTAGAGAAACAGAAAAGCATAGACATAAATATTGAAGAAAGCTATCAGTGTGACAGGTGAAAGGAAAGTACACCTTCTCCCACACTGCATCCATGTAAAATTAACGGGGGGAGGTGGGGTGGAGGGAGCAGCTAGAGAAAGCAAAGAGACCTTTAACAGAAACAGATGGCAGGTAATCTAAACTAGTAATGTGTCAACCTGGCACTGTAATTATTTATTGCTTTAACTTGTAAATGATATAAACATTTGAGACATAAAAGCCGCTAAAATAAAGGAGGTTCTCAGTTAAGGACCTCACTAACAGCTCATCCATGGTATCCAGCATGCTAACCATGCTATTTGGCCAGTTGAGTGTGGCTAGTTCACTATAGCAGTAACAACTGTAGTGGCTACCACTTCAAAACTAGTTGGACAGCACGGACCTAGGCTGTAACACCTGGAGGAGGAATGTGGAGGTTTCCTACTGTACTGTAACTCTATAGAATGTGTTGCCCACTTAAAATTAACATAGGGAGCTACTTAAACTTACTTCAAGTTACAAAGCTATGGATTTGGGGGGGGGGAGGGTGAAGGGATTCATGCTTCTCTCAACTTCATGCTGTGGTATCATGTGCTGTTGAATTAAAATTTCATTAAGATAGAAGGGTTTGAAAGGAGATTTCAATGATTTTTTTAAACTCAGTTTTAATGACAGGTGCCATTAAGAGGTGAGGGAAGCATTAAATCTCAACGCAAGTTCTGTATCTACATAGTCCACCTACCAAACCACAACTCTTTATAGCCCACAACTCCATTTTCAGCATTTATTTATAGAGAATTTATCACTATAGAACAGTATCTAGACAATATCATAATCAGCGTTTCCAGCAAAACAGTAAGCTACCATCCCCAAGTCCCCCTAGAATAGTGTTTCTCAACCTTTTTTTTTTATAAAGTACCCCTTTAAAAACAATTATAAGTACCCACAGTACCTACAGTTTTCAGACGCACAATTTTTTTCTACCATTGCAACACATTTGTTTAAACACCTTAATTATAGACAGGCGGACGATGAAATTTTTGGGTATAAAAAGTACAAAAATAATCAAGTGCTGTAAAACTTAAAACAAAAATTCAGTTTTCTCCAAATATCAGTTGTGTTGATGTACCCCCCCAGACTTCTCTCAAGTACCCCAAGGATTCTCATACCACTGGTTGTGAAACACTGCCCTAGAACAATGTGCCCTAGGTCAATGTGGATTATAACACTTCGTTAAGAGTTCTCTGCATGTACCAACTGACTGACTAGTTCTGCCTGTACCAGGGCACCTCATTGTGCCAGGAGTGACAAAGTTAAATATTATTACTAGCAGGAGGGTAAGGATAGTAATAGACTGTGCAATATCACCATCATCTTAGGAAAAAAACATGGAAAACGCTGCTTACCAGCTTGAAGTCTTGAATACTGCAGATGAAGTATGGAGTGTTCGGCCGTCGACTTTCAATATAGACGCAATCTTTAAAAAGAAATAATTTAAAATAATGGCAATTAACTTCTATACCTCAGATTAAGAATATAAAACAGTATAAACCACATTTATTATATAAAATGTACATGTTGTATTTTTGGGCTAAAAATAGAAGCTAGAATTATTATCCTAAACAAGCAATAATGGAATAAAAATTCACTTAAATTTTAATAGACATTTTCTTCAGAAAGGAAAATGAACTTCTGGAATTTAGCTAATACCTATGGACCAGACTAAAACAAGATGGGAAACTAATCAAATCTCTTCTGGTTAACTCACTATTAAAAACTTAACATTTTCTTTTCTAGTTGTTAAGAAAACGAAGGCAACCAATCATAGATGGAATGCAGTAAACTAAATTAGATTTTCCTCAGGGAAGAATTGAGCTTTCTCAAATTACACTTCACATGATAGAGGCTGAGTAATTATTTTTGTTTGCTTTTGACAACTGGACACTAAAAGATTGCTGTAAAATGAGATCTGTTGTGTTACAAACATAGTCCAGCAAAAAACACCACAAACGCACTGATTTAGAAAAGAGTAAGACTGAATGGAGAAAGAATTGCCTGGATAATGATAATGACCTTAGAAATGGGAAAATCCACACCCAGATTGCTTGAAAGCAGAGATATTGCTTCCAAAGTCAAGCAAGTATTTCAGAGAACCTCAGTGCTCTTCATTTATATTCATACACAACTAATTATTCAGATTCTCCACAAATGTATATATATTTCTGCAAAATATATCTACAAAAACCTCAGGTGCTCAAAGGTATAACTAGCCTTTCTCCCATTGTCTTATTTCCTAAAAACTGTAGAAGAAAAATAGATGAGAGGAAAACTATTGCAGTTGTTCTTCTGGTTAGCTGACCACATTTATGAATGCATTGTCATAATAAATATTTTAAACTAACAATACGATGCCTTTTCTTCCTGAACAAGAATGTAGTGCTTTATTACAAACACTATTCAAACACCACTCAGGTGGGAATCATTTTTTCCATCACTGAAATGCAATCATCCTCAGGATATAAAACTCAGCAACTGCTTAACATCAATATCTTAAAACAACTGAAATTTCAAGTAAGAATCTCGGTAGGTAGAATATGATCAAAGTTAGAAGTCGATGAAGACACCAGGTTCAAAGCCTCTAGCACTTCCGTTATGGCTGTAAGTGGTTAGAACCTAGGTTGGGGTAACAAAAAAACAACAGCCAGCAGGGTTAGTCCCTAGTGGGCTGCCGCCACTATGTTTACCTGCACCTCTGCTGGCATCGGAGGATCACAGCTCTTGTTGGCCACAAATAATTGCCATTCACAGCCAATGTGAGCAGTGAGAAGTATGGTGGACCAGGACTCCACTTTCCGCCGCATGCAGTGGACGCAAATGGTGATTTGCAGCCAACGAGACCTGCAATCTTCTGATACCTGCGGGGGAGCAGGTAAACATGGGAGGCGTGGGCCTGCCAGGGACTAACCCTGCAGACCGGATCTAGCCCGTGGTCTGGAATTTGCCCACCCTTGACATAGGTTTTTACATTGCATTCGAAATGTGGTTGTCGTGTAATGTCTCAAAAGAAAAAGCTACCTTCTTAAAACATCAGAGCTCCTACATTAGCTAATGGTCCATCATGCAACTTCTACTAGCCTAACCCAATACTGCTAGATTATAATAGTATCATAGCAAAACATTCATGGTACTAACAAGATGGAACAAGACTAGAGAAAGAGATAGCTGATGCACGGGCTACCATGAAGCAGGGCTCCAATAAGTGCAATTAGACTTACCTGACTGATTGTCCCATAATAGCCCACTTGCCTTCAGGTATCTTAGGTATTGTTCAAACACAGAAACAATAGCTACGGGACCAACCGGCAGCGCCCCAGCTGCTGTACCACAGGCGTCCGGAGCAAAGCCGCGGAGCACGCGGGCAGCGGACAGCCCAGACCCGCCGCGGCTGTCCCGCTGCCGGCGTCCTCAGAGGCTTTGCTGCCCGTCTCCCTGGTCTGCTGGAAACCCCGTTCGTAACTGCGGATCTGACTTAAGTCGGATCCGCGTAACTCGGGGACTGCCTGTATATATATCAGGAACACCTCAATAGGGAGTAAGGAAAGTATCTTCCATTGTTGCTTTAACTTTTGAATCAACTGTTTAAACTGAAGTGTAATAAACCAATTCCCCCCGTATATCCTGAACTTCCTTAAACTCACTTTTTCCTAAATTGCCACTGAATATTTCCACATACAATTTCCTTTTGTACCAGGAAAACCACCATTCCCCTAAAACTTAAATCCCATTTAAAAAAAATAGCTATCCAAGAAGCGATTATCACCTGGAATTTAATGTGGTTGTCTTGGATCCACCAACCCCAACATAGTTTTTCCTTTTTTAGTATCCTGAATCAACAGTAAAAGCTTTTGTTTTCCTGTTAACGAGTGTCCGCTTTCCACAGTATACTGGAAAATAATCTCACCCTATTCTTTTTGAGCACTCAAGCTCACCCAGCAAGATGTTGAAATTGCACATTCAGTTAAACAGAATATAAAACAAAAATTAGGCTTCTTGGGCCTTTTAAACAATGAAACCATTCTCCTCTAGAATGAACAATGTTCCTGTCTGAAGGAATTTGGAATTCAAATTTAGATCTAAGTACCAAAGAATCTAATTTAGGCAGATGGTTCCCATCAAAGTTCCCTGTAAACTGTGCTTGTGCAACCACTCACCAGAAATTCAAATGCCGCCCAGTTGACTAGCAGAGCATCCACAGCTAGGGTTTTTTTTCCCTAAATGTGGTGCACACTCACACATACCTTGGTGCACATAAAACATTATTCCACACATGTGGAAAAATCCACAAATGGGTGGAAAAGGGTAGAGGGAATATTGGTTACTTGCTTTTTGCATTGCAAGACTGCCCTGACAAATGCAGCTCATTATGACACACATTCCTAAGGGACCCAGAAGATATTAAATAACTAAAAGCCATCATTGCAACTGTTTGAAGCTTGCCAACATCAAACTCCAGTCTAAACAAGTGCTCAAATAACAGGGGCACGTAGCACAGCTTTTTTGACTGAAGTGATATCCAGGCCAAAAAAACCCTTGAAGCCACAAGGTAATGGATGTAGCATTATCTTCTTTTTTTTTCTTTTTAAGTTCTTTCTCCTTGCTAACTGCCATGTGTGCATAAAACATTAAGTTCACCAGAGAAAAATGGAACATGTATTTATAGAACAGAGAGAATAGATTGTATAGCAATGGTGCAAAGAACAAATGTTCAGTGCTGGCTGGCTAACTCCTTCCTAAAGAACAGTCCCCATAAAGGTATAAACTAGCATCTGGGCGGATGGTTCCCCAGAAACTGCATAGCAGCCTTCCCTTTTTACTTGAATAGAAATAT